ACTCATATCACATGGTTCATCGTTTCCCTGGTACAAAGAAAACTAGCCTATCATGTTACTAATAAGAAAGTAAAAATATCGAATTATCGACAACACCCAATATAATTCTTGAATTTATTCTCGAGTTCTTGGCTTCTTCTCTACTCCAAAAGTCTCTTAGAATATGTTTTTTGCGTTCTTGACAGTTCTAGGGTTATAAAACACGTCCAAAGATTCATTTCCTTATGAGTTCTATTGAAATAAGGAAACTAGATTCTTTTCTTCGGAATTGTACTATGCGACTGCATAGTACACTCAATGCGACTGCATAGAACAATAAAATTCTCCCTGAAATTCTCCAAAGTACTACATGCGACCGCATGTAAGAAAAACTATGCGACCGCATAATTCAAGAAAACCTCAATTATTCGCATTTTGGTCCCCGAACTCCGTTTTCTCATTTTTTATCTCTTTTCTCACTTTTTTTGGTTTTTGACTCATTCACATCTTCGTTTCTTGATCTCTTTTCTCACTTTTTCTTCTTCCAACACTTTATTCAATTGGTCTATTGGTTTTTAACTCCTTCACATTTTCGTTTCTTTTCCCAGGTCATCTTTCGGCTATGACATGCGGAAGCTTATAGGAAAGATGGAAAATCTCACAAAGAATTTCTATGAATAGAAACTTCAGAAAATTTTATTTCATTCAACCAATGTGACCTCAAAGGGCTTACAATGCTTTATATAGCGAAAAAACTTACGAAAATTCTGAAATTACATAATAACGGAAAGAGTTTTTTTCCAAAAATGGAAAAAATCGAGATAATGACATAATTTGAAAGTCCTAATCATCAGGATCATTTCCCAAAAATGGAATTCAAATATGAATTTATTTGATTGAGATATATCCAAAACAAAAATTACCAAAAAAGGAAAAAACGTATAAAGGAATAAATTTGCTCGAAATTGGCCCTACGTCAAGGGGTGAGTTTTGTTCATTGGCCCATTTCCATTCAAATTTGACTAAAGTCTTGCCAAAAGTGGACAACCCCAAAATTTCTCCAAAAATCGGGAAGTTGCCTATTTTTATTTTTCCCTATCCTACTTTGCCATAAAGTCTAATTCCTTCAGCACCACATCATTCTTCCCTAGTTGAGAAAAAATCACCCCCAAATTTGGAGGAGAAGCAACTTCATCATCTGAATTATCCCCACAAAATGGCACAAGGTGCTTGACACTAAAAACGTCGGATGTGAGAATACAACTGGGAAGCTTTAAATAATATGCATTGGGATTAATCTTCTCAATGATCTCTTAGGGACCAATTTTTCTTGCTGAAAGCTTGGTGTATTCATAAGCAATACGACCCTTTGTTAACACTACCCAAACAAAGTCACCTACCTCAAACTCGTCATGGCGACGTTTAAGATCCGTATCATGCTTATATTTAGCAATGGCAACCTGTAGATGCTCATAAGTATGCGAATGAAACTGCTACAATTGTTGAATGAAAGCTTTCGCTTTGCCATGTACTTTAACAATATTAGTAACGGAACCAAATTAAGAGGGCTACGAGAAACAAGACCATACACCACCTGAAAAGGACTAAAGTCGGTACCTTGATTAGTTGCATGGTTGTGTGCAAATTTTG